GGGCCAATATGCTGAAGTGGCCCTCGGTGAAATTGAGTTTGACACCCCTGCTCTACAGCCTTAGCCACCACACTGCCAAGCTTAAAGCGTTTTTGCACCTAGCCTCATAAATGGTGCACAACAAGGTCATTCAATCATATTTTGAAATGTAAAAACAGCATTTATTGATACTAACTGGGTTACAAAAAATATTTTTATAAGTATCTATGTTTATTCAATTGAATTAGAATTATTTTGCATCACTGAATCAAAAAATGACAAATTTTTCTCAGTCAGGTTTTTATTCTAATTTGATTTAGAGAAATCCGACCTTCTGACTGAAATGATGACATTTGTGACATTATCAATTCATTTCCATTAATATTTGTCATCCAAGAAAGGATTTTAAAAAGAAGTGTTTGAAAACACCGATACTGTTATTGTGACAGGATGACCAATTGATCTCCAATTCATATCTGGTAGAGGTAAATGTTTGGGTTTTGTTTACCTTGTATAGCTTGTCCTTCTTGCAGAGCTCCACACTCTGCCTCCAGCGGTTGTTTCTTTTGTACAGATAAGCAGCGATACGCCTGAACTCGATCAGTTCATGTTTCTCTAACCTCTGAGCCAAGTCGATGGTGTCAAAGTTATCGTAAGCATCGATGGAGGCTCTCAGGCTCTGCAGACAAATCAAATTTAACTCACATTGCAGAGAAAAGCAACCAGAACAAAACCCAGGGTTAAGAACTACGATATTAACAAAGTTTAACTAGTCAATGGAAACGTGAATCATATCAACTTTAGAAATTTAAATAATCACTTTTCAACTGTGAAAGACACTGATTCAGCTTTTGTTTAAATAAACTATTAATATTTAAATAATAGCGAGCTGGCAGCAGAACCAACCAAACCGTCCAACCTGGTAGTCTTCTTCCTCCGTTAGCAAGTTGTTGAGCGCTTCATTGACGGCCTTGTTGTTGTGATTCTGGACCGACCTCAAGTACGGCTTGACCAACTTCAGCTGATTCATCTGGTCAAGCAAAAGCAAAATGCATCATAGCAGTAAAGTGGACAGAGATGAAGGAAGGGATCACGCAGCGTAAAGATTTCCTTCTTCACATGAGGTTACCTTAGAGAAAAAGCTGACGGCTCTGTTGTGATCCAACCGGGGAGACAAAATAGTCAGCAGGTCATTAATGAGCAGAGGTTTGTATTCCAGGTAGAAAGAAAGAGATTTGTAGTATAACTCCACGTTGGCAACCTGAAAGGAACAAGGAACGAATGTAATATAACATGGAACTGCAAATACAGAAATATAACATAAATGTAAATTATACAACAGCAGAAGCTGAAAAAAAAAAGTTCAAGTCAAATCCGACTGACGATATGAAGTTAAGAGAGTTTGGGGTAAAGACTGAAGAAAATAGAAACAAAACTAAAAAGGTTTCAATAAAGTAGAAGATCTAGTTAGTAATTATTATTCTCTTAGGACAATATTATTTGACAGTCACTTTATGTAATGTTATCTATGTCTGTAGACGATTTAAATATGTATATATGTTTAACAAGACATTCCTAATGTCTTGTTAGAAATGTGGCAGCAGTAGAAGCCTGGTTGTAAAAATTGTAGAAATAAATAGTTGAGTTAAAATGACGCGTTTACCTTGGCAATTATGTCTTTGAACAGGCCTTCTTTCCATGCATCTGTTGCATGGTTCATCATAGTGATGACAGCGTTGTCGTACTCCTCGTATTTATCGTAAAGGAAAACCAGCTCTGCCCATAAATGAGATTGTTCAGCTGCACGAAGAACCTGAAACCAAAAGAATATGGCATTTGTGACATTTAAAGTTTACCTTCTGGAAGACAAATTAGCATCGCATACTTGCAAGAATGATTGGAAAAACTGCTTTTTGGCAGTTGTTTCTATTTATAAACAATCCTATGTTAAAATAATCTTTAAAAAACTTTTGATTAAAATATTAATATGATGAAATATATCAGAACAAATTTAGTAAACCACAAAAAGGAGACCAAGGAACACCAATTATTCAGATGGTGTTAATTAAAGTCTGTTTTGCAGAGAGAGAACATTCATAAATCTGATATTTCCACACAGAAAAAGCATGAAACAAACACACCCACGCACACACCAAGACAGGGAGAAAACCGACCTTTGGGATGTTGACTCGTGACCAGAAGAGCTCCAGATGTTCCCTCATTTTCTGAGGTTTGAATTTGGAGTAGAGGATGGCGAGCTCCGTGAACATCCCCATGTGGGCGCGCTCCAGGCCCAGCGCGGCCTCCAGCAGAGCGATGAGGTCCTCAAAGTACCCGCGGTCCTGGTAGTAGCTGATCAGGTCCTCCAGCTCGTCGGCGTGGATCACAATGTGAAGGCCGCAGATCTGCGCCAACCGGAACTCCTCGCCGTCGACGCACGCAAAGCAAACCTGTCGAGTTCAGAGAAAGTAAATGCCAAGATTTTATTAAGGAAGAAAAAAACCTAAATGTGCCTTTTATTTTGTGTCTGTAGAGCTTTCCATAATTGTGTTCTGTTTTGTTCTTGCTAAGCAAATTGCACTAACAAAGGAGACAGAACATAATCAGAACAGGCAGCAAACTGAACGAAAACTTATTTGTCAACACAACAAAATAACAGAATTACCAACAAACTTCTTTTGTTGGTAATTCTATTTATCTATTTGAAAGGTTATTCTGCATTCAACAATTAAACTATGAATACCCATGCATGTATACTTTCGGAACAGGTGTGCAAACTGGACACTTTGTTTCATCTTTAGTTGAGGTTTAATATGTAGACCCGAAGCATGCTCAGTTCCAGAATATTTAGCAAAACATAAAACCTAAATTTTAATTTAAGAGATAAAGAAATGTAAAATCAAACACATCTGCTGCATCATGGTTTATGAAGCCAAAGGAGAAAATTAACGTTAATACTTCTGCTCCAAAGAATAGGACAACATCGATATAGTTTGGCTTTAAAGGTGTTATTTTTTTCAATCCCACAGTTCCGTTTTATTTTTCCCTTCTTGCCTTTGTATATTTCTTAATTTCATGTTTTGCAAAGTGAAACGAAGATATTTGTGCGTCTTTTACCTCCTTCCACGTCCGAGTGCTGTTTGCTTTCCTGGCGCTGTCCACGGCCGCCTGGTACTCCCCAAGGTGGACTAATGTAGACGCAAGTCGGGCAAAGTTGGACACGTTGTTGAACAAAAGTTTGGCCGCTTCGTACATTCCCTCCTCGTAACATCTGTCTCCCACCTGAAAATGAATGATCAGATTTACAGCAAGAATTTTTCACATTTTGGTGGAAAAAGTAACCCTGTTAAAGGGGACCCATTATGCAAAATTCACATTTTGTATATTTTTTGTATTTTTGTATATTTGTATATCTGTTTGCAGTCATTTTCATGTGCATGTGTAAGCATTGAGTTAAGGAGTGTGACCAACAGCAGCTTAGTGAGATTTAAAGTGACAAGAAGCCTTAATACAGGTAATTCTGAAAGGAGCTCTGGCAGACAGAAATAACCAAACTATAAATGTACTTTATAAATTATAAAATCTTAGATAAACTCATTATCTAAGAATGAGTTTGTACCAAAAATGTATCAAACATGTTTTGTGTAGTCCATAAACCTATCCTAACTTGTTCAAGAAAGCATTACAGACCTTTACAGCAGTCCTTAATAACCGTTCTGAAACCTAGGCTCTTACTTTAAGTTAACCCAAAACATTTAAGGTTTAAAAACTATCTAAAGCCTTTACATGTGAAATTATTGTTGTTTTTACCTGCTGAATGTGAGCATTATTGGGCCCACTGACAAATTCTTCCAGCTCAGCCAGGCGGTTTGTTTTAGCCAGAGCAAAAATCAGCTCCGTCTCTACATACGACTCTCTGGCCTTCTTACGAGCCATCTGCAGGAACTTCACCAAATCCTCCCAGTTGTCTGCAGCAAAGACACACACCAAGAAACTCACATGAAACACACCAATGCAGCCAAGATATCTTACAACAGAGACGCTTACCGTTCTTGCTGGCTGCATTGACCACCTCCATGTACGCTGATGGATCCACGGCTTTGATGTAGGAGTCGATGGCCTCCTTGACCAGGTCCCTGTGCAGCTGAGCTCTGGCTAACTGACTCCACACTGCAGGCTCGTTACAGCGCTCTGCAAACTCATAGGCCCGGTCCAAGTTCCCTATGTGCTCAATCAAAACCTACAAAAATCAAAAAAGGCAAGAATTGGGGGGAAACTTAGCAGTAGAAATGCATCAATAGATTGCATTTCTTCAATCTAAAAAATAACACTCTTCAGAGAGGAAGTTGTTACTAGAAGAAGGCTTAAATTACTAATACTAGTTATTCTCAGTATTAGTGAGGTGGCTTAAATATTAAGCCAAAGGAAGAACAGAGATGTATGAAGATATTTATAAGGACAATTTTATTTTCTAAACTATGTGAAGACATTTGAGAACGCAGAGAGAGCAAAGCTTAAAATAGATAACAGGAAGGCTGAAAGGAAAACAGCAAAATGCTCTGTTTCTATCCTGTCAATCTAAGAGTTAGGAAAGGATAAACACAGACACTGGTTAGGCGCAGTAATGGCTGATATAAGATCCTACAGAGAGGTTAACCGTGGTGCTGTAAAGGTTTTGTCTTTTTTTCACTTCTGCTCTGAATAAAGTCCTACTTATGGCATAAAATCTAAACGTATTAAAAGTGATTCCTTTTTTCTTCTTGTAACTGTTAATTACTAGAAATTAAGTCAAATCTTTGCAAAAACCAGAGATTTGCCTCAAACCTGGGAGTCCTGGCCAACAACATCAAACGAACTTTTGGCTTATTACGAATTTGCTGCTCCAAATAAACCAATACTCTTTCTGCAATCATGACTATCAATCTATAATTTTATTTTTACCTGAATGGCTGAGGTGTTGACATCAAACTTCTTGAAAATGGCAAACCCCTCTTCAAAGAGCTCATTGCTGATAGCAATGTTGGCGATGTCAGGAGCGTCATAGTTATCTAGCCTGTTGATGTACTCCATCACACGAGTGCGGTCGGCCTTGATGGCCGTTAAAATCAGCAGATTCTGGAGGTTTCTGGAGAAAAAATGGAAAAAGTTTAAAAAATAAAACCTGCACTGCAGATTTACAAAGAAGATGTGCCCAAAGTACCTGTGTTCACTGAAGACAGAGTTATCGAGAACGATCTTCTCCAGCAACTCAATCAGCTCGTTTGGTAGGTCTGCAGTCATAAAGGCCTTGACTGTGACCGACACCTCCTCTGGGTCCTGGGTCTCCGACAGAGCCGTCTGCACCACCTGAGAGTGGAAATAGTGTAAAAATATTAATTAAAAAATGAAGAAATTTCTGGTCACAGCCAGACTGAAGTGGAATGAAGCCAACCTGATCGATGAGTTGTCTTCTGAACGGGTTGTCTTCCTCCAACACTTTGGCCCAGAGCTCCGGATCTTTTCGTCGTACAAGATACCGAGCTTCACTCTTAAATAATGAATTTTCATTGCAAACCTGAGAGATTAAAAAAAAATAAAAAATAGACATAGCAGGAAGTTAAACATGTCTGTGCATTCAAAATCTTCTGCGGTCAGTGTGATGGGATCTACACACTTTGATGAGGTCCAGGTCGCACTGGCCCCTCTCATACGCCACGCAGGCCAGGTGGGGGTCTCTCTTCTCGCAGTAGCGGCCGACCACGGCGCTGTCGTAGAACGGGTTCTCCTTCAGGAAGCGCTCCGGCGTGTTGTTGCTGTCAATGTAGATCTTGGCCAGTGCATTGTGGGTAGCTGGTTCCTCACATCCCTCGTGAATACGCGACTCCAGCCATGGCAACAGAAGCTTCAACCTGAAAAGGTACCAAAAAAAACTGACTTATGTAAAATATCTTCTCTTACTGTAACAGAAAAATTCAAAAGCTTGACAAAAAAAGGCATTTTTTTAATAAATTTCATATACATGGAAGAAGGAAGGTAGAAACAAAGGAATGAATTATGGAAAGAAGGAAGGAAGAAATGAATGAACAAACAAAGGAAGCAGTGAAAAAAGAAGGAATGAACAAATTATGGAAAGAAAGAAGGAACAATTGAAGGAAGGAAGAAACAAATAAAGAAAGGAAATAACAAATAAACAATCAAATTATGGAAAGAAAGGAATGAACAACGGAAGGGAGGAAGAAATTAATGTACAAACAAATTACGGAAAGAAGGAAGAAAAGAAGGAACGAATCAGTGAACTACAGAAAATCTATGGAAAGCAAAAATGAAGGAAAAGGGTTTAAATCAAGTCAGGAAACAAGAATGGGGGAAAAAAACAATGGCAGGAAGTTAAGAAGACAGGAAGAAACTGGGAAAAAGAAAGGATGGAACAAAGAGAGGAAACTGGTTTTTGCAATGACAATAACTCATGGATCCAAGCCTAATCTGGGCTCACCTGTTCCTCTTTTCCACCTCGTCCACCAGCTCATCGGTGGAAAACTGTCCTCTGACCACCATGATCAGGTTCTTGATGACATCCTCTGAACAGTCCACATCCAACAACCCACCGATCACCACGGGTAACCGACTGGGATTCACCTGAGAATGCAACGAGCAAATCCAAAATAAACCAGCAACATTTACAGAAAATGATTAGTTAGGAAGCCATGGTGGAAGAAATCCCAGCTTTGGTATTGATCTTACTTTCTGAACATAGATTTCGATGTATTTCTGCAGATTGTTGCGGTACAGGTAGAGCACCAGATCATGGACGAAGTCAAAGCGATCGCACACGATGATGAGGGGAAGCTGGTCTGTTAACTTCGCCTCCTGTAAACAGCGGCAAAATGAGAATAATATTCAATTATCTCTGCAGAAGAAATTACACTTAATGAAGAAGTGGTTTTACCTTTAGGAAGTTTTTAACCCTCTCTGGGTCGTAGCAGTTGCTCTCTCTACATATTCTCTCCACTTCTTTGATCTGACCTGTCTTACAAGCAGCCTGGATGTATTTAAAGTGAACGTCGGGTTCCTGGCTGAAATTCACGATGGAGCCAAGGAAGTAAAACAGACCTTAAAAGAAAAGACAGGAACATTTTTAAATCAAGTAAGAAAATAATTGTCATTTAAAGGTGACCTATTATGTTTCCTTGAACAGATTAAGGTAGGTCTATGGGCTAAATGAAATATGTTTGTTACATTTTTGTACAAAGTAAAATTAACTTATAGCACAGTGAACTAATATCTTAAATAATATTTCAGTTCACTCTATTTTGAGTGGCTGTCAGAATGAGCCGTTTTAGGGCTTCTTGTCACTTTAAATCCAAATAAGCTGCTGCTGGTCACACCCCTAAACTCAACATTCACGCTGCAAACAGACGCACAATGACACAACCAAACATCTTTGAAAAGCAGAAGTTCATACAACGGTAAAATCCAGCTGACCAAACGTCCTGGGGCTCAGCTCAAGTTGCTAGGTAACGGGCTGGGCTTTGCTGGGGTTGCTAGGTAACGGGGCAGTGCCTTCTGATTTGTTACATTCAAACAGACACCAAAAAACGACTGGGTGTTATGTTTGTTTTTTCTAAGAGCTTGGGCTGATTTTTGAAGCAGTTGAAACCCAAATCGAAGTGCAAAACCGTTAAAAATGAATTTTGCATCATAGGCCGCCTTTAACAAGTTTTTATCATTTTTAAATGAATTAAGAGAAAATGCCTACCTTCATAACTCTTGAAGGACTCGAAGAGCTCCACTAGCGCCTGAGTTCCCAGCTGCTCATGATACTTTGATGCTACCTGCACACACAGCTGCAGGTTCTGCCTGATGTTGGCCGACAACATGGCCCTCAAACACTCCAAAGAGTCGTCGACTGACAAGGAGCCGAAAAAGTTCACCAGCCACTAAACGGTAGAAAAATGAAAAAGCAAAGAAACCTAAATGCAGAGGAAGAGATTAAAGGCATTCTTATGAAACCAAATGTCTCCCAACGGCGCTGTGTTCACAGGACTGGCTGCTCTGCTGTAGGCGTACCTCAGGGTTGAGCAGATGTGTGTGCACCACGGCTCGTTTGATGTCGTACAGGTCGGTGTAGTGTTCGAGTGCTCTCTGCAGCAGCCCTGCCTTCTCACACAGCTGAGCGACGTGGGCCCGGTCATAGTGTGTGAACATCTGGTTCCCCAGGATGGCATCTGCTACCTGAAAATGTTCATTACACACATCAACACACATCATATTAAGAGCGACTTTTCACATCAAAGTGAGAATCTACAGCAGTGGATGAGTGAGTTCATTACAGGGTCAAAACTTTCTACTTTATTACTCTCCTGTTTAACCCTTTACATTTTCCACAACTTCTATGTTTATACAGATCCTGGGTATTAAAGTGGCGTTATTATGCATTTTTCAGGCACATATTGCCATTTTATACCACAATCAAGTAACTATGTTACCTTCAGTTCTTATAAAAATGCTGTATATATCAAACATAAATTAAAAGAAATTTGACTTTGCAATATAACACCTTGAAATTGGGCCTCTGTCTCTTTAAGAAGCTCCTGCTCTTTCCAACACTTCAGCAAGTCATCACAACGTTTCTCCATGATGCTGTTTACAACCGTTCTTACCAGCGTTGGGCTGAGAAGTAGCATCTAAGATATAAAGCTCAAAAAATTTGATTTTACATAACCCTCCCCCCCCCCCCTTTAAAAAGTGTTTAATTATAAAAAGGAAGAAAAACCATATGACTTTCAAAATGAGATTGTTCTTCCAACAGGAAAACAACCCTAAACTCACCACCACATGCAGATCAAAGCATCCAGATTTTTATTGGTAAAAACCACTGAGGATCCATTTATGCTTTTCCTTATAGTTTAGTTATGTGCAGTCATTTTTGGTTTGTTTATTATGTGAAATCCTAATGAAATGTGTGGTCGTTTGTAGTTGTAAGGTAGAGTTTACATTAGGAGTGAATAAGTTTGGAAGAAACTATAAAATACTTTGGTTTAGGGAAAGTTAAGACAGCAATTATGACTAAAACCCAACTCTAGTTTTACTCTGCCACTGTTTTTTATCTCTTATTCACCAATTCACCAATAATGTATACAATAAACATTATAAAGTGACAAAAAGCAAGAAGGGATATTAATCTATAAAATAATTAACCAGATAATAGAACGAGTAATAAAAATAAAATAGCCAAACAAACAGCAAAACAAGAAAACAAATATGGAGGAACACATTCAAAACAATAATGAAACAGAACATAATCAATTGGTGTCAACAAAAATGAAACTGATTGATATGTGGATTAGGATATCCTTTTTTTTTTAAATCATGGCAGTTATTTTCTAATTTGAATTATTTTTCTCTTCTCTAATTGATCAACAGGCGTCGCAGACATTTTTGGAAAGAAGTGGCCACTGAACTACATGTTCCTGGCTGCATGTCTCTGTTTATGCAATATGCTCCACATCCGCACAGTTGACATTCTTACTCGTTGTGGATACAACATCAATGGTGGCTAACGACTAGATGTAGCCATCAATTTCTCCAGTTAGGAAAAAGGAGCTGGTAAAACGGCTCACCTGGGGAGCGTGTATCAGGTTCATCTCAAGCAGACGTGTCTGTAAGTGTCCTTCAGCTGGACGGTTGTTCTTCAGAGCATCCAGCAGGAAGGAAGTACACTGCTGAATCAGGCTGCCCTCCATGAAAACATCAACAATCTACCAAAAAAAAAAAAAACAGCATGCACAAAAGTTAGGAATATTAAAGACTTTAAATTGTGCTGCAAAGCATCATTTCAGCTAATGTAAAAGTCACAGGTTATTAAACACCAGCCAGATGTTTCTGCTCCTTCAATTTTCTGCTTAACTTGTAATTCAAAGCAAGAGAAAGGATGTGGCTTTAAAGGAAGGAGGGAGTCACTGACTCAGTGGATTCTTGGCGTTGCTAGAACATCTGGAACAACACAGACACAGACCGACTCCCATCCAAGACACCTTTCCAGTTGATGTGTGCCATCGAATCAGATACGTCATTTTCTTTTAAACTTTGCAATATAGTTTTTATGCCACATTCTTCTACACTTTAATCATCATAGCTGACGGTCCAAAGAGTAAATACTGTGAATTTACTGCAGATGGAGTTAGACCAGAAGGAAACAAGGACAGAAATAAAACATGAAAAGAACCAAGATAAAAAAGAAAAAGAAATTTAGAAAGAAAGAAGAGGAGAAACATGGAAAGAAACCTAAAAAGAGACAAGGAGAACATAAAGGGTGGAGAAGAAGAAGGAAACAGATGAAGGATGGGAAAGACAGAAGAAGTAGACAAGGAAAGATGGACAGAGGGATAATTCAACGTTTTGACAATGACGTAAGAAAAACAGACATTTTTACTTTTCTTTAATTTGTCCCATTTTCATACTAATCTGAACCTGGAAAATACTCAAAAAAACAAATAATAAATCACACTATCAAGGACTGCATCTGATGCTGCTCATATTACCTGGTTGATGTTGGCCAGCGGCTCCTCGTCTTGGACAAGCATTTGGGCAAACTGCAGTCCTTGGTCTGGGTTGACTCGCATTACGTTCCTCAGCAAAAACACCCAGTCTGGGGTGTAGCCCACCTACAGAGGCACAGGAACAATGATGTATGTGAATCTGTTCGCACCTTTTTAAATACATTCATATTGAAGGTGGACAAAACCAAAGATGATGATAATATATTATGAGAAAGTAAAGTGGAGATCTGGTTACCTTTTTGGCATACAGCACTATCTTCTGGAACTGTCCTGTTTCTGCAAAGCACTGAATGACTTTGTTGGGGACATTTGCTCTGAGATAAACACTAAGAGCTAGCGTTGGGTCCGAGGCCTTTACCAGATCGCCCAGTTCCTCTGAACACTCCAGCTGCAGAGCACACAGTCGCATTTACTAATTATGACAGTCGCATAACAGAGGAGCAGAAAACTTTCACCAGCTCCTACCTTGTCCTCCTTCAGCCATTTCTCCAGGAGCTGCTTGCGGCCCTGCTGCAGGACGGGCCTGCACAGCTCCAGAGACTCAAACTTGTTGAGCTGGCCCTGGTCCAAAAGAATCCCGAAGTACTGGAGCAGCGGTGAGGCCTGACCCGGCTGGGCTGGGACACTCTGGAACTTGCGAATGGTTTCTGCCGTTCGGAGGATACCCTGCAGGTCAGAACACATCAAACAATGGAGGAATTACTGGAGGAGGGAAAACTGAAAATTTCTACTGAATCTTTAGACAAATTTCATGGTGGTTCAGTAAAACTCACAAGAAAACTATTTTATTCTTTGAAACTCTGAATCATTGTAGATATGACAGTCTGCTAATCAAATTAACTAATTTATTCATATTGTGTTCTTTAAGGTAAAATGAACTCAAGATTTAAGACCTTTTAAAGGCCATCATGAATGGAATTCAAGAAAAATAATACATAGAATATACGAGAATAAATAGACAAAATTTAAGACCTGTGATTAATGTATTTAAAGTAAACGTATTTTTTTATTAATTTAAGACATTTTAATGCCTTAATTTTAGATAGATGAAGAATCTATTCATTACCGAAATGCACCTGGTAAGAGAAGAAAATGCAAGCGCTACACTTAACTGCAGAGTCTGACGTACCTTGGGTGCAGATGCAGCAACCTTTGCAGCCTCTGAGTAACTTCCCTGGGCAAACAGAGTATTAAACTTTCTGGCAAAAAGCTCCTCAGCCCCAACAAGATTAGACCTCACGGCCATCCTCAGGGCCAGATCAGGGTTCTGCAGAACGTTTGTGGCATAGTTGACGATGTTTTCTTCTTCAACACACACTGACAAGACCTGTGACGTGTAGTAAAGGCAGTTGCAGTATGTCAATAAAACTCAATAAATTAGAAACAGAAAAAAAATTAGAAGGTAAATCTTTCAATGTACATTTAAGCCAAATTCACATTTTGCACGTTTCTGGACTTCAATTTGGATCTCTACTATCAAGCCCAACAACAACAACAACAAAAAACATTCAGCCAATTTTTGGCAATAAGTTTATGTTTTCTGGTGTCTGGAAAAAGAGCCGTTTCAAAAACCCACAGAATGTAACATTACAAATTAGGGGGTACTGGCCCTCACCTAACAACTTCCGCAAAGCACAACCAGTTACCTAGCAACCAAACTGAAGCTAAGCCCATTACTTAGCAACCAAAAGAACTCCAGCAGGTTTGATCAGCTGGTTTTAATGTATGTGTTATACAATGGCTGCTGGAAATGACAAGTGTTTTGTTGTGCAGTAGGCTCTACTAATGCTTTTAAAAGATGTATGGATGTAAAACTGTGCATCTGTTTTCAGACATTTTCATGTGTGAGTGTAAACATTGAGTTGGGGGGCGTGGCCACCAGCTGTTTATTTGGATTTAAAGTGAAACAGCTCTTTTTGAAAGGAGCTCAAAATAGGCAGAACTGAGCAAACTAAAATCTGACTAACAATGATTTTGTGCCTAAAATGTAATAAACATGCTTTGCATAGACCACAGACCCTAAGCTGCTCAAAGAGGCATAACAGGTCACCTTTAAGATACATTTTAGAGCCAGACAACATAAATCTTGAAAAAGCTATAAAAATAATATAAACCCTTTGATGATTTTTTTTTTTTAGCAAAATAAGTAAAACTGATACTTCCTAAGTAACAGAAGCTTTGTATTAAGACTCTTCAGTTTTTTTCCTCACCTGTCCCTTCTTATTAACGCCGATGATCCCTGAGGTGGCCTCATGAGGGGCCGTAACAAAGATAGTCTCTGCACTGATGCGGTTCATGTATATACACACTCCAGATTCCAGGTCGTACAGGTGAATGTAACCATATTTTGTGATCAAATATATCACACCATGCTTGTTCCCAATCTACAACAAAAGAGTAAAAAGAGATTTTAAGAATTCACCAGTCACCTAAAACTCTCAGGAGTTGAATAAGTAGCTGCCGTTCACTTACCTGCATAGCTACAGGGAAGTCTGTCTGGGCCTCTGGAGGGAAAAACACATCCACTGCTTTCTTAGCAAATGGCTGGTTTCCTGCAGCGGGCTGACCAACTTCAATGATATGCAACTTTGAGGAGAAAGTCATCATGCATAAATAAAATAAGCACAGCAAGTAGGACGTAAAAGAAACTCGTTAATAAACCTTCACCTTTCCTCCCGCCTGTGAGCGCACAGCAAAGCAGAACAACGTGGAAGGTTTGGCATTTCCTTCCACTTTGAACTCCCCGAAGGCAGCGGCGTGGCCCTCAATGGGCTGGGAGACTTTCCTGTCAACCGAGTACAGCTGCATCGCCCCCACTACGCGATTTTGCTGCAAAGAAAAACAAAACTGAACCTCAGACTCATGGGACTGTCAAAACTTCAAGCCGTTGAGTTGTGATGCAACACAGTGTAACAAAAGTTCAAATTCGCTGTTCGACTGTTGAGGGTTTAAGATAAGACATTATAATTGGGAACAGTGATTACTTAAACAAACAATGAGGAGCCACGAGTCAGTGCTGTGGGATGGAAACCGACACAATGTTTCCAGCAGGAGGTTTGTTTATGAGAAAACACCAGAAAAGTGTTTTTTTCCAGTGTGACTAAACTGTTTTCCAGTCTTTTCCTCCCTCGGTTTAATTTCTCTTCATTAGGGCATTCTGAGAAGCTTTTATGTGCGCAGCTTAGGTGGAAGCAGAGCTTCCTGTTCAATAACAGTGAAACCCCTCAGGTGTCTTTCATTAACTCTAGCTGACAAACCATCGGACTGTTCAGGGAGAAAAATGCTTCTGCAGGGATTGAGAAGTTATCCCAACTCCTTCTGTTATCCAGTAAATATCTAAGGAAATACTTTACTTCCCTCGACTAAAAACTAATCATCTACTTAATGTTATCTTCAATTTTATTAGGAAAGTGTAATTGGAGGGCATACTTTGGGCAGTTTTGGCCTATTCAAGGATGAAAACGGGAACCATTTCCCAACTGAGGTGTAAATTTTACTCAAATCCTCAAGCTATTAAATTTGATCCTGGACAATCTAATCATATCTGAACAGATCAAATTTTGAATGTTCAACCCAAAAAAAGTTTTGTTGTCTGAACTCAGTCTGAGGGAAAACCTGAATCCTCTGGAGCAGCAGAGTCTTAACTTGCTGCAGTGAACATATGTAGATAATATACAGATCTGAAAAGAAATAAAGAGCCCACTCTTTAATAATAATGCACTGCACTGACCCCCATTGAAAACCTCCTGATTATTCCACCAAATATTGATTTCTGAACTCTTCATGAGTTAAAACATTAGTATTGTTTTTTTCAAAATTAAGATAAACTTGTTTTCTTTGCATTATCTGAGGTCTGAAAGCGCTCCAATTTCTTCATTATTTTAACAGTTTCCCATTTCATCCAAACAAATATTAATTTTTTTGTTTGGAATTTCAGAAACATGTCAGTAATTCTTAGAATAAAACAACAATGTTCACTTTACTCAAACATATACCTATAAAAAGTAAATAAGAGACATTTAAAGTGGTCTCTTATTTTTCAAGGAACTGTATATTATTTTGCAAAGCACATCAAGACTTATTTGTGCCATTAATGCTACACCCAGTTACATTTATCAACTCCATAACGATCTTTGTTCAACAGCAGCAACTAATATGAAAATGAATGACTGCTCATGGCAGTAAAGTTTTAAAAAATATACAGTTTGAATGCTGTTTAATATGTTATATATTATACACCATTCCTAAATAGAAATACAATATTAAATAAATTTTAACTGATAAAGATAACCTGAGTAATATTGTTCACTGTTCTATTAGCCATTTATCTTTAACAGTTTTTTCTACTTTTACCATTTATGCACAATGATTCACCTCAACTAAAATTTCTCAAAAAAATGAGGAAAAACGTGAATAGAAGTTTCAACATATCAACAGAATGAAAGTATATGAAACTGATTAAATAATCTAAGACATGGCTTTTTATGCAACTCACACCTGATGTAGATGCTTTCTCCAGAAAAATTTCCATGTGCATCACTGTAAAATCTAATAAAACTTGAGAATCTGATGCTCTGCCTCCTCATTAAAACTCTAAAATAAGGAGAAAACGGCAGAACCGTCTCCTCCAAGTGTTAACACCCAAAAAGCATCCTAGGAGCAGCGTGTTAAAGCTTTGTCTGTAGGAGACGCAGAAATATGTGAAAGTTTTTTCACTCTGATTTTTTTTCCGAAAGGGCTGCGGACCAGAGACGTAAAAGGTAATTACAACTTGAGGGGAGACGTGCTGAGGGGTGTGAACTCGTACCTGTGCAGAAATCCCGATCAGCAGTAACCACTTCTGTTGCTCGTCGGTTCTGTAGTTGATGATCTGACATCCCGCCAGGCTGGCGTGCCGATCGAACACTTTGGTGGGTTGGGAATCCCCCTCCATGCTCCAGTGGTAGACCGCCGTGTCCGTCACCAAGGCGACGGTGTTCACAGATATCCACTTCCAGAACATGACCTCCTCCGTGGTGGTGTGAGCCTTCATCTTACTCTTCATCTCGATGTTGAAAATCTGCAGGGTTTTGGCAGCTGTGAGGATGCATGGAAACGCAGAAATCAGACAAATTTAAGACGTAATGATGGTTTTTTTTTCGTTTGTAGATTATTTCTCTATATTAATGCTCATTGACATGTTCGCCTGTCATAAGGTGAACATTTTAAGGCAGACATTTTCTAGCATAAAGAAAAAAAACTAAATCTAAACTTGAATTTGAGTACATTTATTCAGTCAGAGATAATCCTGTTTAAAAATTGTTTCTAATACCTGATTTTTAAACAGCAGTCACTACCAGCTAAATGCAACCAAAGCAGTTAATGAATGTATACTTTACTTTTTTTTTTTTTCTTAAGAGTCCCTGGGAACTTTTAGCCATCCACAATAAAATATGACGTAACACAGAGACCCATTACCTTTAGCCTTCAAAAAGCAGGCTAGATGAGGAACCATATTTATGGACTATCAGGTGTGAAAATAAGCGTATTTTTACATTTGAAAAACCTGTTCCCCTCCTCACCTGTGGCGGCGCTGCACCAAGAACCAATGAAGGAAACAACATGAAAACCCATGAAGACATGATCGCACAAAACTAACAATCTTGTTTTAATTCCTTACTTTTGAAAATGGTTTAGAGTTGAACGGAACAACAAAATATTTATCGCACAAAAAAACTGTAGAAAGTAATAGTTTGTGCACACATCTATTCTGTTCAGGACCTTTTTTCACACAAATCTCAGTTGGATTAATGACTGTCGGTGTTGTGACTGACACTGAAGAGCATAAGACAGGTGCCAGGACTTGGAGGGACTTGTGAAGATTGTGCAAAGTGAAATGATCAAACATCTCTCTACACCAATCAACTTTATGAAATGTAATATAATTGAGTTCTGCCACACCATCAGGATTTTATATGCTCATTGAATGAATGTACTCAAATAAAAGTTTGCATTTTCCAGCGTGAACATAACTATTACAGTACAGGATTGATTTATTTTAAGGTTTTTTGCACATCTTTAAGCAGAGGTTCCAGCAAATTATCAATCTGTAATAATATGAATACCACAAAGTGTTGTGTAAGCCGTCGAAGTCTCACTTTGTGCACCCAGCTGACATTTGCACCTAGAATCAACTGGCCTCCAGCTACAGGAAGCAGATGGCAGCTTTGAGAAAGGTCATAATGGCTCGCAGTAACTGAGTCACAGCACTGCTTCTGAGCTCCAGAATAGACTGGTTAGCTTCGTATGCGACCAAGTAACAACCTTCATTAGCCATTAAAACTCTCAACATAACAAACAGGTGAGGTAATGCATGAGGTTAGTGAATACTGGCTCTGTTGTGCAAACAGCCATCAGCACAGACAGGCTTTATGATAAGCTAATGGGTTGCCTAATTAACAACAATGATATGGCTACTGGCTCACGCAGGCGTGCAAAGACCCACGCAGAGCTTCAGCGCTTTTTACTCTAATATGTGATGATTTCAATACGACACACACACAGCCATGCCAACGCGTGTTGTTCTCATAAAAGAGGTGCATCTGCCAGCAGGTTAGATTAGAACACAGCTTTGGATTATTTTGCAGCTGCAGGGTGGTCAAAATGCCTCTGCATGGTTGTTGGAGACACTTTTATAAGAGAAAGACATGGCTACTGTATCATCACAACGGGGTGCCAGACAGGCAGACACACAGAAAGCAACTCACCGTCTGAGAAATTACAGAAAGCAAGGGAGGAGAAAGCAGAATGTCAATCAGGTAAGAGTGACAGGACAACGTTAAGGAGGGCCAAACGGGGGCGAGTTATTCCCAGAGCGAGGGAGGAAGAAGGAGAGAAAAGGCATTACAGGCAGATCAGCACTTTCATTTATGCTTTCCGGGTTATATTCACTAAGAGATAATCAATACGACGAACCAATTAGGAACATTGAGAAAACAGACTTGAGTGCGTTTGGCCAGCATTAATCATTGCATGACTCTTTTTCTACTACAGTTAATTGTACTGGAGACAGAAATAACTTTCATACAACATAATGTACAACGAATTTCACCATCTCACCTTTCAGCGCGATAACCTTGCTTGCGGGGTTCATAATGGCGCTGTCAGCAGAGATGGGCCTCCTGATTGGGTTGTTGGGGTCGGACATGTCAACGATCACCACCTGGTTCTGCTCGCCCACTTTCTCCCGGATGCAGATGAACTTGTCTGACTCCATGGTCAGGTAGCTGAAGCCGATGTTAGCTGGGTTCACACCCAGGTTCTGCAACTGGAAATTAATTAAAAAAAAAACAATGCAAGAGAATAAAAACACCAGCTGGAACATCAAGTAGATGGTTTAGAGTGAATCTGGATACAGAACCAACAGGGATGCTTTGGAAGTGAAGTCAGTAAAACAAACGCCACACACAGGCTTTCACAAAACATCTTTAGGTTCTTTCCTTTTTATTTTAATTATCAAATTGTCAATCATTTAGTTACATTATAAAATAAAACTACATTCTGTTGTTTGCAGGTTGCTAACATCTGCCGTGTTCCTGATGTCCAGGCAGAATCAGAGGCCCAAAACAAATCTGTGCAACTCCTTGGCCAGCAATGTCTGTCTACATGCCTGCATTCAGTCTCCATGGTAACCAGCTGTTTCACCGTCCAATCATTTTAGAGGGAGTCCCACAGCTTTCAATCCCGCCCATACTGGAAATGTAACAATTTACAACATGGGTGCAGAATATCAAGAAAATATGGAACTGTGATGCTATTGCTGAAAATTGCAAAATTGTTAATTAACTCACATTTTCTTGACGCTTCTTTACTATTGCTCAATATCCACACCCCTCTCTATGAGCAAGGGAACAAACATGTAAATTAGGTGTAATAAGAGTGTAAACAGGAAAGTTAAACTGCCAAGACAAGCTTTCCAACATGCAGACACTTGAAATTTAATATTTTACAAACTACAATGTCCGAGCAGTCATTGAAGATTGTGATATTCTGAGGATAATGATGATTCAATAGATTGTGCACGTTTAATTTCTAACTCTCTCGACATTTTAACCACTGATTCTGATTTTCTAGTCTGATAACTACAACAGATAGGGGGAAAACATGCTGCAGGTTGTTTTATGGTGCTAGTAGATTTGAATCTAAAAAATTCAGGGACTATTTCATGCTGATTTTTATTTAATCCAAATAACTTTACAGTACATCCTGTTGGTTGATGTGTTTATAGAGCAAAAATGGTCAAAGTTATTACATTTTGATGCATTTAATGAATGTGATACGAGAAAAAAAAAACATATTTTCACTAATCAGACCTGATTATGGGAATCATTTTGATTTCCGGACCACTGATTGGTGCATATCTAATTATTGCCTCGGTTTTCAACTCAGATATTCACCAAAGCATCAAGATACAAGTTTTTTGGCAAACCAACCACTTCTGGGTTTTGGATAGAAACATGAAGTCTTTAAACTATATTATCTCTCCTATTATGTCATTGTAGAGAAGAAACAGAGATTATTCAATATTGTCCAATAAAACATTAACACAACTGACATACATGAGATAATGAGCAAGTGTTCAGTTGGCTATTTTAAAGTCGTTTCATACTCAACAAAACTTCTTTAATGAATCTGGGGCGGGGGGGAAGTCCCAGGGAAAATGTACAGCAGCTGATCTTTGCTTTGCTGGGATAACCCAGTGAGAGCCACATCAAAATATAGTTTTGATAAAAATAGCACCAGATCTGCTCCAGTCCTCCAACTATTATCTCAAAGGGTGTTTTCCCACACAGGGGTCACAGAGAGCCAGCGAACAACCACAGAAACCTCCGACGAAACTAAAGGTTTTCTTTTAAACACCTACTTCAGCTCTTTTAACACTAAAATGGTGTAAAATCTTAGCATAAGTGAAAACGTAAATCCCTCCAGCTGCAGCCGGACCATTTGTCTGAGCAGAGAGAGTGGAGCAGAACAGGCATTCTCCGTCTGATGACTGAACTCCCTGCATTATGCAGTCTGAAGCAAGCAGAAAGGAATCTTTACACTCATCACAAGGACCACACTATCTCCCAGTTGGCTGGAACAGCAGGACAACAAATCATTTGAAGCCATTTAAGTCGGGTCTTCAGCAAAACAGGAAGAAAGAGGCGATCGTAAATCAGGGTCGTAAACCGGGGCGCGCCCGTTTAAGTCCACTTTTAAACAAGAAACGGTTTCCAATCTAGGAAATTATCATTTGCTTGATTAAATTCATGCTTTACGTTAAAAATTGGATGTTTTGCCCATTTGTAGACAGGCAAACACACACAACTTTAAACTTTCTATTTATTTTTTTTAATCCACTCTCTTCACCTGACATTATTTGCCTTTATCTGAAGCATGCAAAAATTGATGAATCTAACAGGGAAATATAAACTATACCACCTTTAGTCCTTTTGTTACTTTGTGGTGATTCTTTTTTTCCTAACAAACATGTTGGATGTGTCAGCTTTGCAAGGTCCTAAAACTCTCCCGAGATGTTCCACAATCATCCGAGAAGGCCAGTTTCCATGAAATTTCGAAGCCAGGTCTCTAAACTACCCAAATATCTCTCTGGGACAGAGTTTCCCACTGAATGCAAGACAATAAAACAGAGCTGGAAACCTCCCTTAGTTACAGACTGCTTCATTCTGAACAGGAATGCACAATATTAAAAGCATGTGGTGGCAGTATTTTCGTAAATACCACAATAACAGTATTTTGAATGCCCAAAATTATTTGTATCCGTTAGCATCTAAGGCAATGAATGTGTAGGATTCAGCCTGAAATTTCCACTGACATGCATTCTAACTGAGGATGGGCATTTAGTGCATCATTTATCAAATCTTATAGTGATTTTGATTTATCATTTTCAAGATAAATTCTATTAGTTTTACTATTTTCTATGCTATTTGTTTAATGAGAGTATCAATACATACTCAAATTTTAAAATATGCAGCTTAATGTGAGCCAAATCACTCTTCTTTATGTGACTGGTGTTCTAAAGAACCATATTGCAAATGGAAATGTTTTGTTTTTCAGGAGCAGCGTTTATGGTTTCGGGGTTATAATTGCTGTGCCATCCAGTCATATAAAAACAACAGGAACAAATAGTTCTTATTGTTACTTTTATTGTCTTATTGTCACAATTGGACTACAAAATATTGTTAATCAGTTCTTTGCAAAACTATTACTCTGCACATTGCTCCAACACATACACAACCTAATCATATTCATCTGCTCTTTGCACAGATATATGCATTTTGTCTATTTTTCCACAGATGTATTGTCACTATTACTACTTTGTATAAAAATTATTGTTTTTCTAACATCAGCATCTATGTGCTTCTATCTGAATAACATTTTGCAGCTGGTACACTGAATTCACACCGAGACCCAAATAAAGGATTACCGTTTTGTCGTCTATTAGGATTTTCTAGAAGATTGATCTGGAGGACGATGTGCAAATGCAGCTGTGGATTTGGCAAAAGCCTTTCCTGAGAGTGACGTGTGGATGCAGGGACGAGTGTGGAACCAAACTCCCAGGATATCCTCATATCAACCAGGTCAAATTTCTCTGCACGGCACATTTCAGCAAATAGACAATTCAAAGTGCGCTACATTATAAAAAAAAAAAAAAACTAATACAGTAACCAATTATGAGATGAGCAAGAAATACTGCATTTTTGTCAAATCCCATTAAAAAAGCAAATAATAATATAAACATAAAATATATTGATCGACGTTCCAGTAATTATGAATCAAAGGCAGCAATAAAAAGGTGAAATTTCAGCCTTGATTTAAAGAAATTTGAGTTTCAGCATCATTACAGTTTTTTGTAAGTTTGTTTTGAAGCATAAAACCAAATGTTGAACATTTTAAGACATTTATGGCATAAAAACAACTGATTCTCTCATATCACTAAGAGAAAAGAAATATTAACTTCAGATTGTAGAAAAAATAGAGTAAAGCTACTTTGGGTTTATTTTTGATATTCATTACATGGTGGGAAATAAAACAAAAATGCAGTCATAGAGCTTTGTGTTGATTGTTTAAATTAATGTTAAGAAGCACCAACAAAAAAAAGTGATACAGGCGTCTTGAAAAAGGCCACAGAGAAGACCTGAGGGCGATCAGAGCCATATGCTGCCTCTCCTGTAAGGACTGCCAAAATGATCCAAGGGTGCAGAAGGGAGGAAGCACAACAAAGATGGTAGGGGACAAGATGAAGATGAGAATGCGAGGAAGAGCTGAAGAAAACGTTCAGCATCGAGATAACATCCAAACAAGGCAGTGTGGAAGCAAGGAACAAAACACACGGCTGAGAAGTTGGCCTAATCGGAGCGGTAACACACTCCTTTGGCATTTTACAGTTCAGGGTGGGGCGACTGACTCACCAGACGTTTTAGCAGAAGATTCCAGACTAAAAATCACACTTCAGCTCTAACCTACCACAGACCCATAAATTACCTCCATCGATTCCTCACACATGACTGCGCATTATCTTTCTGCAAAAGGTGGGGTTAGATATCACAAAAACAGCATTAATGCCGATGCAGCTTGGATGGTATGTGGTGAGTCAAAGACTGGCTGGAAGTGTTGCATCAGCAGCTCAAGTGAGGAACGATGCAAAAACACTTCCACATTTTTTCTATGATAAATTGTTGGACAAGTCGAGCCGGTAGCTGGTCAGGAAAGAAGGTAAACTAAAGTAAAAACTTCCCCTGACAAATTTAAATTTTCTCTCTTTAAAGTCGCAGCCGGTATTAGCATCTTTCGTCTCCTTGGATGTTCAGACACTTTTCAAATTCACGTTGCATTCTGGTGGTAGCTTTTTAAAAAATAAAAACTTTTGGTAGACGATTTTAACTTGCTCAGAGTTCACCAACATAAAACAAACCAAATATTACGAAAGCTTGGGAGGATCTTTTTGAACTTACTAGAGATGCACAAATGACTTCCAGCTGTGAATGAAAGGTCAGAAACTGATAACTGAAATGTACCTTCCAATAACTAAATGCATTGAGTAGAAATACCTGAAGAAACACAGAGTACTTTCAATACAGATCAAAGGTTAAGGACAATTCAGGAATGGGGATTATTTTATAAAAGATTTCTGCCTCTATCAAAATATATTTTTCTCTATTATCTGTTATTCTCAGCTTTAAAACAAAACATAAGACCTCAAAGAGAAATGTTTTTGGTATCAGAGCGTCTATAATGTTGCATAGGAACTATTTTCTTGCAGCT